TGCCATCAGTTGAACTCGACCAACAATGGAACATAGATATCAGGGCAAACACTGTATAAGAAATAGGGGTGAAACCGAACTTTTGGGGATCAACGACTCTTAACAAAGTTGGTTTAACTTCTCTTTCAATCACAGCGGTTTCTGCTATTTTCGATAAAGCTGACGTTATAGGGAGAGGTAAATCGTGGACAATGGTTACTTTTGGTATAGAGACAACGTAAGCCGACTTCTAAATTTGGAGGATTTTACAACTTTCAAAGGATGCATTTATAATATCCGCAATTGGTGAGGCAAGATGTCACAAAAGTTTTTTAAAACCCAATTTGAGATATCGTCAGGGCCACTAGAACGCTATGTATTAACCTCACCCAGTTTTTTTGCTATACAGTAGTTGCCTCAGACACAGTTATAGGCGATTCGTCACTATTCATAGTCACGCACGGAAATATCTTCGGACAACGGAACATAGTTCTGCATAACGTGAAAGCAGTATTGATTTGTTACTAAGGCATTTGTCAGCCTCCAGACTTACATCTTGATGGAGACGATCTTTTAGATCTTTGTTCTTGGATATAGATGCGCCACACAATTGCTTTACTTCTCGCCACCACGGTTAACCTTGTTGCGTAACCATTTAATTTTCCTTAAACACTCTAAATATTAAATGGGTACAAAAACCATCCATGGTAAAAAAGATAGGCTAATACTTTTCAAATAAGACAACATATTTTTTTCACAGTATTTTGGGCCTTCTTTCCGCATCATGTAATCGTACACGGTATAATTATGATCACGCACACTTCCGATAGAAACAACATCAATGAATTCTCGTATGTATGTATCTAATGTATCTAAGTTGCATGTTTTCGAAATGCATGAGAAAACATCCGTCGATTGTAGAAAGCGCAAAGGTTTTGATCGCATATATAGCTGCAAAATTCACAAGTGAGATTAGGTTGCAAGCTGCAAGAAAAATAACACTAAGTAACACAGTCGTTGCAGAAATTAATATATGAATATTCTTGTATATGTATGTCTATATATACACAGCTAAATGCAATATAGAATATACTACAAGCGATCTTAAGGGCTTTGAAATTTTTTTTTCGAAGCTGAACAGCTAAGACAAGCGTGAAATTTGTCGAAAAAAAGTACTGGGCATACTACTTTTCTTGCAAAGTCTAAAGTTATTTCTTCCTGCTTTTCTCTAGACAAACTTCTTATTCATGAGAGTATAATTCTCATGCATGACTAAATTCATGGCCAATTTGCAGAAACTAATATATCAATATCTATACCCTCTCCCAATTATCGAACTGTTGGCGCCCCTGCATATCACGAAAATAATTAAAATAAATCGTAGTTTGAATTAGTTCAGCTTAATTACATTCCTTTAATACCTCTTGCGAATTAGCTAAAATCAGCAAATCATTACAGTTTCGAGGAGCTAGTCAATTTTTCATACATTCTTTTTTCCTTGTTTAATAATGAAATATGTTCTTTTTAAAGCTGTTGTAGATTTTGATAAATCTACCGTCTTCAGGATATGCGCTTTGTTGTCGGTGCATAATGCAATATGTATATTTCGGGAATACAACCTGAAAAATTTTCTATCCTAGCCTAGGTAGGAAGGTATATCTTAGGTCTGGTGGTTTAAAAGGTTTGATCGATTGTCCCGTGATGCAGACTATGGCCAGTTTTCTAATGATCTAATATCTAATATAGCAAAATTTCTTGATTGGTGCATGGTTAAAAATATCGCACTTACAACTATGCATGAATGGATGCACTATCCATGCATGCATGGCCTTCGAATTGTTTATATTGTTATATATATATATATATATATTATTATATTATATATATATATATATATATATATATATATACACCCATTTGGAAAAACGTTTGCCGCAGATAGATAGATAGATAGATATTGTTATATATATATATATATATATATATATATATATATATATATATATATATATATATATATATATATATACACCCATTTGGAAAAACGTTTGCCGCAGATAGATCGATAGATAGATACTCGAAGTCGAATTAGAATTGCATATGATTACATGTGCATGGGATTTCAATCATATTACACAACATATGCAATTCTAATTAGATTTCGAGTATCTATCTATATATCTATTAACGGCCAACGTTTTTGCAAATGGGTGGATATATATATATATATATATATATATATATATAAATATATAATATATATATATTATATTATATATTATATATATATTATATATTATATATATATATATATATATTATTTATATATATATATAATATATATATTTAATATATTATATATATTATTATATATATAATATATATATATATATATATATATATATATATATATATATATATATTGAACATGATTTGCTCCAAAATAAATTTGGAGTTGCAACACAGGTAATAATATAGGCAAAAATGTTCTCCGTGTTTACTATACTCACCCTTGACGGGCATATTCAAACCTAAGAATGTAAATTTGTCCCTTTCCCTCACCAGCTCACTCGTTAAGAGTGCCTAGGCCTTGGGACCCTAGGAGGCGGTTTAAAAGGAGAAAGGAACACACACACAGCCCAAGCTATACGTCCATCCAAAGCGTTCATCGGCTTGAATGTGAGAGATCGATTTCACGTATTTATCAGTGCGAATGTACATTCTTAACATATCAAATGTCCAAGTGCCACACAACTCATCTCATCGTCGTCATGAACATTCTTACAATGCAGGAAATAAGTATAGTTAAAAATACGTAGGTATATTCCGCGCCAAGTACTTTTGGTTATTAGAATCCTACAGAGTATTGTAGGCGTAGGTTCCTAATAACCAAAAGTACTTGGCGCGGAATATACCTACGTATTTTTAACTATACTTATTTCCTGCATTGTAAGAATGTTCATGACGACGATGAGATGAGTTGTGTGGCACTTGGACATTTGATATGTTAAGAATGTACATTCGCACTGATAAATACGTGAAATCGATCTCTCACATTCAAGCCGATGAACGCTTTGGATGGACGTATGGCTTGGGCTGTGTGTGTGTTCCTTTCTCCTTTTAAACCGCCTCCTAGGGTCCCAAGGCCTAGGCACTCTTAACGAGTGAGCTGGTGAGGGAAAGGGACAAATTTACATTCTTAGGTTTGAATATGCCCGTCAAGGGTGAGTATAGTAAACACGGAGAACATTTTTGCCTATATATATATATATATATATATATATATATATATATATATATATATATATATATATATATACACAGAAAGGTTTTCACACATTTTAGCCGTACGTTGCTTTGGTTTTGTTTTTTTGTTCATATTTTTCACAGCGGGTCGGATGCAAAATTTCGGACCGCTGTGAAACGCTTCACTCAGCCAATCAGATCGCTTTATGTACATGGTTAAAAAAATAACGTCAAATATTGCTTATATCTTGCTTTTAAAGAAAAAAATGACACTTCATTTTTCATCAATCGTTGAGAAAACGTGCATGGAGTTACACTGAATAGGAACATTGACGAGATAATAAGGAATTTTATCCAATGATTGCAGTCCTAGGACGCCTAAAGAGGATGGTTGCGACGAAAAATTTGTACAAAGCGTATGTTTAACCTAACATGGAACAATGTTCTCAACTTATTTGAGTGAACAAAACATTGTGCCAGAAAATTGAAAAAGCAAATGCATGGCTACGATGATGATAATGAACTTGGGTAACAATTAATATATCACCTATGAAGAACTGTTAGAACTAGCATCAATACAAACACTCCAAGATATGCTTGAACAATCTTTAATTTTATTCTTCAAACTAAATCTGCATCGTCATTAACAGAATGTTACATTTGAAACAGTGTATATATATATATGTAGCATATAATGTGTAGTAAGTCATGCCTCTGGCTCGGATGATCGGGTAACTGCATCATGTCTATATACGACATCAAATAATCAATTCATTAAAATTAATATACTATATTTGGCATGCACCGTCTGGACGACTTTGGTAACTATAATTACCTATAATAAACGATGGCCTAAATACATCTTTTTCGTACTTATGGGATTGAAATTGCGAAATTAAAGTCGAGCGAATAAAAAACGCGAAATTAAATACCTAGGCGAATATTTAGAATTACTAAATCATAAATATCACAGATAGTAGGTTAGATAGTTTGCTAAAATGCGAGAAGTTTGTTGAAATGTGCTGTGGCGTACGATCCCCATGAGGGACGCCAGTCACCGTGCAAAATGTACACTTCATGCACTGTGAACATTTATATAAAAAATGCCTACTTCGCAACACCTGTCTATTTCTACATTTTCTTTAAAATTAAATCATGCACAATATTACTAACACCCGGGCCGAGTGTATAAAAGGTAGTTAACTTACAACTAAATTTACTGGCTGGACGAGCGAGAGGAAAGACACGTGTCATGCGAGTGATCCATTGCGCACTCAACGCCCCTCAAGATTGGAAACTTTACAATCACTGGCATTGTCTGTCTAAACTTGATTAATGAAAATTGGAAAGCATGCGCAGTTGTGAGAGTATAAGCAAAAGTGCGCAAAAGGATCACTTGTACTCACCCTTAGCGATTGCTTCTAAATTAAAGTTATAATTCTTAATATAATAATGACGTTACAAAGCGCGATTGGTAGTCAGGGCGAAAAACTTTCGAAACAAAACGTTTCCTGCAGTGACAAATAAGACCAGAATTCCCAGCAAGCATCACCACTTCTGACGTCATTATGCATAAGGTCTATTATACGTATAAATGTTTTCGCAATATATACGAATGATATAAGCGCATCCTACTCGTGTTCGTGAAAGGCTTACATCTTTGCTTATTTCTAAAGTTTGTTACATCTCTTTGAAACGTGAAATTTGTTACGCTTGCAGTACAACTTTTATATTCTATATTGTTGTTTATGTTTTCAATATACGAATAGATTAGATTAGTTCAAATATAATACCTCAACTTCTGACGGAGTAAAATAAATGTAGCTTCCTGTAAGCAGCGATTGTGTTTCTCTTGTGTTGTCTGCGTATCCAGACGGTGGCTTATAGCTGACACCAAAAATTGCGGCATTCCCTTCACCACCTTTTGGTTGGAAAAGTGATCCGTCGGAAATCGAAAAATCTGGACCAGTCCCAAATTTAGGACCAGATTCTGGGTTACGAAGTACTGCATCTTTGCATTTGGCCTCTTTGCAATGTGACTTAAACGGGGGAAGGTCGCCGTTGTTTCGAAATGAAAACAAAAATGAACCTGGAGCATTAACACCACCCATATTTCCCGTCCAGCTAGCTGCTGCATATCCACCAAATATAAAAGACTTATTATCTTTAAGAACTTTTACAACTGTCAGTGTTGGAACTTTAGATTTGCATTTCTGTTGAAAAGTCGCGCTTTTATTCCCGTCTCTAGTTATCCGCCAGCAGACGCTCCAATTCCCTGTCTCTGGCAACCATTCTCCCAATAGTCTTGTAAACTCTGGGGACTCGGCTGACAATATGTGAGAATCAAGTTCATGAACTATAAATATAATGTAAGCCGCATTAATTAACCATAGTAGACTTAATTAGCCATATATTTGACAGACTCGGTGAAACTGTGACCGAACACTCCAGACAGGTATCATATAACACGTACGCAGGTGTTTATAGAGATATGATAAAAAAAGGGACAGTCGAAGTCTGATACTATAGAAATGCAGATCACTAGCGTATTGTTCATATAATAAAAGTAAAGTGTTGAAGTAAACTCGTGATTAATACTGGTGTGTCCAACGATATTTCTAGAACCTGTGGCGGCAAGGCTAACAATAACACTGAAGGAAATTTTCGTCGTTAAAATAAATATCACGCCATTTTCCAGATAAAAGTACATTATGTTCATCTATGCTGTAAAATAATCTTGCCTGAGCATGTATCCTCATTTCCAATATATATCCACTTTGACAACTGACAGGTCGAAACGTCGAAAAGTGTTTTTGTCTATTTTAGGCAATTGTTAAATGCCACATTTGATGCTAAATTACGTTAATATAGTGTAAAATAATCTTGCCTGAACATATTTTCCCATTTCCTGCAAAACCTCTGCGACAGTGACATTCGTAGGAGCCAATAGTGTTATTGCAGATTGCGTTCGAGTGACATTTGTGAGTTCCCAGCGCACACTCGTCAATTTCTAGAATGACATTAAATAGCAACGATTCAATAAAAGAAGTGTAAAAAAATAAATGTCTACAGACATGGATATATAATTATGATAACTCAAAATTTACGTAGCGGGACAACATAACTGACTACGCTACTGATCTCGATTCACAGACCTTGTGCATAATGACGTAGCAAGCCGTGACGCCTGCAGGGAATTCTGGTTTTCGTAGTCACGGCAAAAATTAAAATAGACCTTGTGTATAATGACGTAGCAAGCCGTGGCGCCTGCAGGGAATTCTGGTTTTAGTAGTCACGGCAAAAATTCAAACTTTAAAATTCCCCGCCGTGACTACTAAGACCAGAATTTCCTGCAGGTGTCACAACTTGTTACGTCATTATGCATAAGGTTTATTATGACGGGGTAGTTTCCAAACCGTCAGCGCGTGTTTAACTTGAAAAAATAAATTCTTCAAGATTTCCTGTGAATAGTTCTTTTTTTCCAAGTTTCACATTTTTAACGAGAAGAAATAATATTCCGGTTCATTTTATTCCGGAGCTCTCGATTCCAGTTCTCGATTCCAGTTCTCGATGCGTGCTGTTCTTGCACCATCACCACCATTAATATAACCTTAAATATAATATGCCCCCAAAACCACGGAACCGTAGTTTGCAATAACCGTTTCCTGATCCCAAATTATTTCTTAATCTTAAATCCTAGTCCTGAGTTTAAATATCAAAGTTAAAGAGTAAAATAAGATAAGTTCCCCACCTGGCATACAACTTTTATTAAACACCTACAGAAGAAAAGAAAATATATTCATTAAAGAAATTTAAAAAATCGAGTAAATTAATTCCTCAAACAGCCTTTCTAATGGGTGACACGCTCAATCACGCTCACCAGTGCTCCTTATATTTTACACAACAGGGGCCAGTTGTATGGAAGCTTGATAGCGCTATCCATTGAATAGTAATTTCTTCAACCGTTATCAAAATGCTTGAAGAGCAATAAAATTTCAGGAATCTTAATTTAGGAATACTAAGATTATAATCGAAGTTATACAGCGATTTACAGTCGTGCCAATAGATGCGTTGACCAATTGACCGAAAAATGTTGGCCATTCATTTCCTAACTCGAAGGAACACATCTGAACAATTCCTCAACAATTTGAAAGTTCCTTAAAAAGTTCCTATAACTTCCTGTTTCATTGACCAATCAGATTGCTCAAAAATAATATAGTAAATTTGATTGGTTTAATGGTGTACTGCTTCGTGCCACTCATCATTGCAGGATTGCGACATATTGATACAGGCCCAGATCCGGTTAGGGAACAAAAATTAGGTCGTACTAGTACGTGGGGGGGCGCTCGTCAATTAAAAAAAGTTAGCGCACTTGCTGGTCCGCTGGACTGACAAGACTGAGTGCTTTAATAAAACTGGCTTTTATACCGTTCCTGCTAATTATTCTAGCATCTTCATTATGAGTTTTGCATAACTACATAACGTCGCTATCCAGCTTATGCGAGTATAAAAAGCAACAGATCAGATTATATTAAGTCAGATCATCGACAAAATTGAATTATCATTTCCTTCATTCTATATGACTTCCGCAATGGAAAATTTTAGCGGCTAGAAGAATAACTTTTAAGATATCCTGTCTCGATTCTACAACCAACCTTACCTTTGCTGGATTAATGAGATATGCATGATCATACGAGGAGTTTTTCTCCAGCATTTTCTTTGATGCAGTGTAGACCATATTGTGCAACATTTCGCAATTTGTTTCGTTTTCAAACATCCAATTGTTTTTGTAGTTGATTGATCTGCAACATGGCTCAGTGACACATTCCATAAGGCAATCAATCATCTCGCCCTGAACGAACTTACTTTTTATAACTGAATATTTAAGCCTGGTACCTACAATGTTGAAAGCCGTAAATAATTGTTAACAGTTTTATTTTCACAAATATTCTTTAAAAAATAGGCCACTCAATCGTCTGTCTATATCAATAAAGCTCAGGGCCATCGCTAGAACCTTAATTGATGGGTGCATATTCATATCCATATTCGAAACAACAGCTAACAAAAGAAATCAGTCGGGCATAAGACGAATGTATAAACCCCCATTGCATGAACCGGCCCTGATAAAGCTAACCTCCGGAAAAAATTTGCACCAATTCAAGTTTATCAAAGTGAACAAGTCAAGGACGACCGGAGGGCTCAACAAATTACGGGAACTTAATCCACACTACCCTGCATGGTTAAAGTAAAAACAGTTGAAACGGCTGTCAATGCATAAACCTATAATAAAAATTTGAGCAGCATCTCGTTGACTATTTCAAATTTAACACAGGCCGCTGAAATCCGGCAACTTCAGTCATCTTACTGTTAGCCCAAAGTGTCGTATATAATGTCAGATACACGACAAAAATGCTTAAAATTTGTGCTATGTATATTCCACTCAAATTGCGCATAATTAGCTATAGCTTTTAAAAAAAATATTGCCGGAGAATAATCCATCAATCCAATAAGCTTAAGAGCTATGTAGGTTTATACCTTCAAGAGTAGAATTGTAACAAATCAAAGCACCCATCTCTGAATGTGTTCCTTTCAAAAGTATGGAGGAAAGAAGTATACAAAACCAGAGATTTGCCATTGTGTTTTATTTGTTAACCTGTGAATGAAAAAAATATACATCAAACCAGTCACGACAATTAGCTATATAAGCACAGGCCTGTGTGGCGAGGCAAACTGTGTCATAGTTACTACATTACATACACCGGCTGTGGAATATTCAATAACAAGTTCAGTCTTATAAATATAAGGCTGTTTCCCACTTCTGGGCACTCGGATAGAACGGGTCGGTACGTACCTATAACAAACTCAGTTGCTATTTTGGTTGATGCATGATAACAATAAAACACATTGAAAGATAGAAGTTGATTTATGAAAGAACGAATCTCAAATTCTTACAAAAAGCCAATCACAAAACTTGTTCATTTTAGGTAGATACTTACTGGATATAGAACTAAAGCTTTGAAATAAAGGAATACGCTGCGCTTCGCTAGGATACGGTTGAAGTGGAAAACAAGGCCTTATAACTCAGCGGATCACTGGAGGCGTGTATTGCAGCAAGCTGGATGCATAACATGAGAAATGAAAAGTTGATCGATACAACATAATTCCCTGCTGCTCTAAAAGTATGGACCAGTTTGTCTCTCTACGCAACATGCGGTATATTTAACAGAATACACGACACACACGCGACAGTACATCATCAAGACAGACCATTTCCTTAGAGTTAAACGTGCTTCCTAACACGCTAAACATTGTGTGCATGAACCAAGACAAAAATCACGATGTTTTAGATAATCAAAATCCCTTTAAAATAAAATGATTTTTTTATTAAACATGCTGTAGATGCATTTTCGATAATTTGTGGGGGGTGCGTATTCATATAATCGTTCTGCCCGACAAATTTCTGTTCAACGTTTATGGCAAAATTAGCTAAACAATAATATGAATATTCACACACATGCACATACACATACCCACCTAAAAATTTATCGCCCTAGTTTCACCGTCAATAAACACTAATGAGACTGAAACGTCTCATACAGAAGCTATGTTTTTACTAACTGTATACTCTGGGTTACGATAATAAATTGGCTCTCCTCTCTTTATACTTCCATGCAGCAAACAAACTTCCATTACTCAAAATGATTAAAAATATATGTAAAATTATGAATATACAGACAAACCTTAAACTCTGAACGCGCAAAGAATCATTATTCTTTGACTTGTGACTTTGCATTTAATTTGCGAACCCGAGCATATAGCTACTACGTACACACTGAATTTACAGCTCTGGCTAAATTTAACAGCTTTTAGAAAATTATACCAGCGATGCAATTAGAATAAAATAAAAGCACTTATTAGCTTTTATTCATCAATTTTAAACACATCATGACGTAAAGTATAGACACGTAAACACGTGGAGTGATAATACATAAATATAATACATATCTGTATTTGATAGTATATATACACTAGGATAGTGTACCATAAATGCTATAGCCGATATTCCTTTCAAATAAGAGGATATCTAATTTTTCATTTCCTGATAGGTCGGCATCAATACAATATATTATTTTCCAGCCCATCTGCTGCAGCCAAACCTCCCGCTAGTTTTAAATGGCTTTTGCATGGAAATTTCAACCACAAGCAGTCCCGCAGAGAGTTTTGTTAATGATGAAATGTATACTATTAGTATTTTATGCAACATATAGGACACTGTACTAAACATTTCAAGGAGCGCGTGCGTTTTTGAGACATTTCAACGAACTGCACGTATATACATAATAAAGTTATGACTATCGGCTACTCCATTGACGATGCTTTAATTGTAAATATAACTGACTGCAATATAACTCGGTCGTCAAATTTACAATTGTGCCGGTCAGGAATATCATTAATATTTTTTATTGCTTTTATGTATTACCTGTCTGGTACATGCGCACTTCACTTAATATATCTGCTTTAAAAGAATCATGAATCATTATCAACATCAATCAACGTCAGTCTCTCAGACGCATTTACAAAAGACTGCGTGCTACAGCTACAGCTATAGCCTATTCATATGCACGCGAAAATAAAAAAAAACACCCAGCGTCAAAATAATATAATATGACAGTATTATAATCTTCATAAGCATAATAATTACTGACATTCATAGCAACCGCACTGCATGGGGTAATTAATTATGATGACGCGTTGAGAGAAATCAGTAATGGCGTTGGAATAAACTAATATGGCGCAGGTAGCTATATGAATTTAAGCAACGCTTTTTTCAGCAAAGCTTTTCTCAATCCGAAGTAGCATCCGATCATTTTGTCAATACATTAAGTATTGACGATACTTATACTCATTAACATTTTACAAAACATGTCGGAAACCAATGCAAACTTTGCTCAGTTTTGCTTTTGGCATTTCACGGCGATAAAATAACTGCAACTGCTTACAAGATATTGTATTACCACCAGTAAAGCGTAAATGAGATCAGAGCAAGAGAAGAGGAACGGAATTACCTTGCAATGTTTTTAGACAAGTATTAAATCAGGCAATGAGACACGAATAAATAAATTCGTTTAGAAAAAGACAGGAAGAAAAGCGAACAGGTACAAAACAAGTATCCGTGGATACTTTTGAATGCAGATCAGTGGCTGTTTGACCCATGCAGGTACAATGCGGAACAGAAAGGGAAACTTGAAAGATTATACACTAATACGCGAACTTAAAGCCTTTCTTTTTGAGTTGGAGAACATTTGAGAGAAGCGGAAGGTTGGCTGAAGTATTACTGCCATACTCAAATATTATTTCTCTCTAGAAAAACGTCTTATTTGAAAGAGGCTATAATACTCCCGACTAAATGTTAAACCTTTCTTAATAACAAGCTATGTAACTCCGCTTGTATCTTCAATTACTCTGATTTCTTCAACGCTCCACTCGCACAATATATTTTGTAAACAGCTGTTAGTTTATTAAAATGTAGGCCTTTCTATGTTTTTCACTTGCCCTTGTCCTGAAGATGTCTTAGGTTAAAAACGCAACGCTAGCTTCTCTATTTGATGTTTTAAATGTAATTTTGTTACGGTTTTTTACGAACATTGTATTAGAGATTCTTATTTATTTTAGATTACGAAGTTTAAAGATTCCCGCCTAGTTTTGCCACTGTAAGTAGTCTAATTTTCATTTCTCAAGAAGGCTTCTCCCTTCAGATCTTTACGGAGTTTCGACATTCATCAAGCATAGAGATTTTTGCGTGTACGAGAAAAAATACTAACCAAAAACACATATATACCTCCGACTGCTCCTACTTTTGCAATTCCTGCTTCGCAATACCGCTTAATATTGAACATGGCTCTTAGAATTAGACCAAAACCGGCTAAAAATTAAGATAAAATTCGATACCTTTTTCCCAAGATGTATTTGAGAACTAATTTCAACACCAGATGTATTTCATCACCAGATGAATCACAGCCGAGTTTCAATTTCACATGACATCGAGCAAGAGCAAAAGGACGAAACGTAAGTACTGAGAAACTTCTGTCACCTTGCTTTATTTCATCAACAAGCTTCGAGACGAACATAAATAAACAGCAGTTAGAAAATTTTTAATAAGTAGGGGCAGATTATTGTCATTAAAAATTTACCTCGTTGCTTAGCGATAGCGGCGCGTAAATTTCAATTTACCAAATCATATCATTTTTAATTAAAATATTTCTTATAGAATAGCAAAATAAATTGAATTGTCCAAAACCACGCAGGATATCCGTCAACTTAATTGCCCTTCACGCGTTGCCTTTAAATTGGGCATAAAACTCAATTTAACTTAAGATATCAGATTTGCGTGTTTTTAAAATGTGTGAAGTGTAATTTCGCAAGAAAAAACTATTCGCACTTATATCCTGTAGCTTTTGCAAATCCTAATTATTTCCATTCATTTCTTTTTAGGCTTTATCAAAAAGAGATTTTTTAGCTGAATTTTTCACAATCCGTCGGCTCTTCAGGATTCACCCCTTGTTGATAGGTGTAAAGGCGCTTTACAGTTCATTGGTTATGCAAATAGCATTTAAGGCGTGTTACTCGCGAACAAATTAAGGGTTTTTGCTTCATGCTAACCGGAGCGTTAAAGTTTAAGGACATGCATCGGCAAATCGGACACGGTATAAAGTAGAGCTAGGAGACACGTGATTTATGAATGCATGCACTTATTTGGTCGAGTTTGTTCTGTACTGTTTACGTCATTTGTTTATAGTTTTGAACCGTATCAACGTAGCTTCGTTCGACGTATGAATGTAATCGAGGCGTGTATGAAGCCTGTTAAATAAAATATCAAATGTAAACCGGGAGTTTTAACAGTTTTTTCTATGGACATACGCGTTTCAACATGCATCAATGTCTCTGAAGCTGCAACTGCAAGCGTAGTTTATGGACGTGTGCTGTAACAATAAGGGGAATCACGAAATCTATTCCCGGAAAGTTTCCTCAAGGTTTATGACTTTGGTCTGATCGTTTGCTCGAGGTCTGCCTTTGAACTTTTTTTCAGTCAAAATGGTTGTACTTTTTAGTCCAGTGTTGAAACACGGAAAGGTGTATAATCCCGGTGTGGAAATAAGGAATGGAGAGGGAAAGAAAGAGCGAAGTGAAACGATCTATGAAATGATAGCCAAAAGAAAGATGAAAGAAAAAAGAAGGTTTGGTTACAAAGACGGAGGAGAAGAAAAGAAAAAACAATAATGGAGAATGAGCATGGGGGAACAAAATAAAAAAGGATTGTAAATCGGATAAGAGCAGAATGGTAACAGAAGAGGCCTAGTGATAAACATAGGAAATGAAGGAGGGGATTAGTGAATATGTGAATAACGAAATATTTCACGCCTTCTTAGAGTATTTCTTTACTGATTTATAGAATATAGAAATTCTTAAATTCTCCGGCGAACCTTTGTACTGTATGTTTTCCACTTCTACAAGCTCACAATATTTTTTCGGTATAATATATCATTTATAGACCTCCGCTTGGGAGATTCGCCTAACTATTTCCCTCAGGCGAATCCCTCGGAAAATATCATCACTTCGGGAAATATTTCGCCGAAAATATTTCATAACAGAATATATGAATATGCATGGCCCCCTCAACTAACGTTCGATTGACGCCTATCGTTTCAATGATTGGAAAGATACTTGCTGATCTTGCAATCCGCGGAGAGACAGAATAGAAAGATTTCACGGCCTTAAGGGATATAAACCGTCGCTGCCATTGTTTGCTAAACCACACACTTTGAAGATATTGAAAATACCAGTTTTTAAATATGCAAAATATTTAAAATATTTGAACTTGTCGTGCTCATTCCACCCAGCACTGAGAACTCCTTTTTATCACCTTGAAGAGCCAATCGTCTTCCTGTACTCCTCTAATCTTTCATCCATCATCAGTTTTAGTTTTCTTTGTGCTCCCAACCTTTCCACGCATCGCCTTTTTCCGCGTAGAGTTTTTCTGATTATCATAACTTTCTTATAAGTATGATTTGCTTCATGCTAGAAATTAGATGACTCTGGTTTATAGCTTTCCTTCAAGCTTTTCTGTCCACCCCCAAACTCATTAATTGACATCTGTAAATCTGAAGGCTGAGCGAGGTACAAATTTCCTCTTATTTTTATTACTATTAATTTTTAAATAAATCAATGAAATTGACATGAACATGCCTAAAAACTGTTTTTAAAGTCATTGTATTTGCGACCGGTATCAGATATTTTGGAAATTGCAAGTGAATTGTCTCGATACAAATTAAATAGTTACTACCTTCCGGCTATGCAATACTTGCAACATGAAACTAATAAAAAAACGCTGAGTCATTTATTATAATACTATCTGATTACTAATTTTGCTTTCAGCTCGCGATAATTAAAACGCGAGGGCACATCGTTCACAACTTCACAGTGAATAACGTTTGTAGACACCCTGTAGAGATAATGACTATAAAGACATTGCAATCAAAAGTCGCCTGAATGAAACATTCATAATTTTGTGAACAATTTCCATTCACGACAGGATACGCCGAGTGTTTATATTAGTGATGATGAAACGCATAGCTATGTAATATGGCCATATGGCTATCTTTAAAACAGGGAACGGGGAATAGAGGAATGGAACGGGGAATGGAATGGCTTCGGGGAATGAGCCGGGGAATGGAATGGCTTCGGGGAATGTGCAGCTTGTGCGTCATTGCGAGTTTGTTTGGCCCATTTGGCGTGATTAAAACCTGTAAACGCTTCCATGTCAC